AGCGGAAGCAGATGCTACAGAACACATTTGTTGGCTTGGCTCCGGGCTTCGACAAATGCCGCCTCTTCTTCGATGGAGTCTGCGATCTACCTCTGAGAGCTAGGTCGTGACTCATGTGGATTGGAGAAAGAAAGAAGAAGCAAGAAAAAGAGGCAATTTGGGGGAATTGGATTTGGGCATTTCACAATTCTTGGCTAATTGGACAATTGGGCTAAACAATAAGATTATAAGAAGCCCAAAATTTCTCAACTTTACTAAAGCCCAAAACCAACCAAAAAAAAAAAGGGCATTTCATCTTCTTCTTCCTTCTCCGGGCACTGCAACGGTGGTGAACGGCTAGCTACCCTGCGTTTCTACAGATTCCGGTGGAGCCAGCACGCGCGACAGCGCCCCGACACCCGATGCTGGCTCCGCGCCTGTTTGGGAGGCCTTTATTTTAATTTACTCTACTTTAATTTCATTCTCATACCCATTTTCAATCACATTCACAAAATAATTCTACATATAAATCCAATATTTTTCATACTTTTTAACCACATATTCTCCAAAAAAAATACTATTCAAAGCATAGTATTTTTCCCCTTCTCCAAATTAAAGGTTACCAAACAGGCGCTAAATGTGCCTTAACACTTGAGCGTTAAATATAAACTACCTATCTTCCTAATTTTAAGAAAAAATAGAGTAAGGTTTTTACCAATCTATTCTATGAAAATTCTTCTTTACCTTTTTGTTATGCTTTATAAGATAAATTAGATAGTTTGAACCAATAATAATAATAATAATAATAATAATAATAATAATAATAATAATAATAATAATAATAATAAAATAAAGGAAAACTAGAGAGAGAAAGACTCACTACTTCAAGCATGGTTAGAGAGGAAGAGAGAGAAATTAAGAGAGGAGAAAAGTCAGTGCATATAGCGTGGAATAGACATTAAATTATGGTTTTTTTTTACGGGAAACTAATGTTTGTTATATAGCATTGAGGGATGTCCGTACATTGGAGTCAATCCTAGGTTGTCGGTGGGCCACACATTTGACACCCCTATGTCTGCCTGGCTGGAATTTTTAACAAGCCAATCTTGTGGTGACACCTGGATTTTGTAGGTTTTGCTGACATGGCAATAGGGATTGAATTTTTATGAAACAATTTTTCATCTTCCATCTCTCTCTCTTTTTGCTGATTAATTTATATAAAACCGACCTAGAACACTATGATACTGTAGTGTACCGTTAGGTGTTGTATTCTTATTACGCAAAGTGTTTTTATTTGGGAAATTGCTACAGAATCCTTACCGACCCCTCACTGTAGGGTCAGTCCCACATGCAAAAAAAAAATAATAATAATGCCGGGGCCCACACTGTGAGTATCTGGCAAAAATAGACCCCTGTAAGTGTAGTAAGTCTCTTTTATTTGGCTTGCATTTAAAGAAATCGAGAAAGATACTCATATTCTAATTCATTCAGTTAATTTGCTAACAAACTTAAAAGGTTGACTCTTTGATGAAGGTAATAATGAGAGTAAGTCAAATCAAATGAATCGTTGTTGATAATTTGATGAATCTTTTGAAGTATATTTTCAATGTGCTACAATTTTAATAAAGATCTTCGGTGGTACAATTTTAAAAAGAAGAAAATCAACAATAACTAATTTTGTTACTGTTGGAAATAATACTGTGATTGAGGATATTACTCCTCAATCACAATCTTCCTATAGCATGCCAATGCCAATCACGTAATTGAAGGAGGCTAATTTACACGGTTTCCATTTCATTTACACAGTTTTCATTTCATTGTAAATTATTGATTTGTATTCCATTTATACTATCTTGTAAAGCTCTATATAATGCAATACGATACACCACTGAAATCAAGGTGGATTTTAATCATTCTTATGGTATCAGAGCCAAGTGGTTTAACATACATTCCACATATCCTGTTCTTCTTTTTTCCTTCATGGCTTCTGAAACTTTTGCCACCCTTCTTCCTTTCAATACCTTAATCCACATGATCACTATTAAACTTTCCTCCTCAAATTATCTTCTCTCATGCCAAGTGACAAATATGGAAAGCTATTGATCAGCGTCTCCTCAGTTTGTTACTTACTTCCCTCACAGAGGAAGCCATGGCTGAGGTAGTTGGCCTCTCCACCGCACGAGACGTGTGGCTGGCACTAGAAAATGCATTTAGCCATCATTCTAAAGCTCGAGAACTACACCTTAAGGATGACGTGCAATTAATGAAACGCGGCAATAGATCGATTGTTGAGTATGCCCGTTCCTTCAAAGCAATTTGTGATCAACTACATGCCATTGGTTGTCCAGTTGATGGTACTGACAAGGTGCACTGGTTTCTCCAAGGGCTTGTTGCTGATTTCTCTAGTTTATCCACAGCACAAATGGCCCAAACTTCTCTGCCCTCATTTGCATATTTAGTCTCAAAGGCCGAAAGTTTTGAAATTTTTCAGAAATCCCTTTACTCATCTTCTCCAGCAGCGACAGCCTTTATTGTCACAAAAAATTCCACCCATCGTGGTAGCTCTTCTCGTAGTCATCGGGGTCGCTTCGGTAGGCGTGGCAGCATTTCATCTGGTCGTGGACAAGGACGCTCCAACTACAGCCAATGGCGTCATCCACCAAGATGCCAGATTTGCAGGATGGATGGCCACTTTGCCGATTTACAAGTATACAAAGTTTGTAGTTTTAATAGCCTCCATAGTATTGTACCTCTGTTGGAGATGTAGGTCCGCCACCACTTGAGAAGCAAAAGATTTGAGGGCGAGGCCTCTCTCACATGATAACTAGTTAAAAAGGGAAATTAAGTGCTCAAGTTAGGTTAAAATGTTTTCCCTGTTGATTGAATTTGCCACTAGGTGGACCCAAGGGAGCGAGGGGGAGCATAGAGTTTCCCAACCCTCTTTCTTTTTAAGGTACAATAAAGAGATAGGCAAGAAAACGAATTCGCTAATACGTCTTTACTAGCGTATAAGACAAAGAGAATGAAAGTACCTACAAACAAAGGAAGACACTCATAAAGTGAACGAATTCTATGAAGAATTGTTACTTATGTGTTCCCGATCGACTAACTACTGTGAGAAATAATTCTTCACGAAAATATGCTATTTGTATATACTGCGGTGTTCACTACTCTCACATGGAGGTGGACTCACTTCAAAGAAATTATATTTTATTCGAAGTGGATCTCCCTTCATGTGAAAAAAGTAGATACCGTTATAGACATCCCGATATACGTGTAGCATCATTCTTCTTCACGATAGCTAAGTTGCCACTTTCATAAAATTATTTAGATCCAAACAAACCTTTAATGTAAAATAAGTGGGTGCTCTCTTTTATCTTAGTTTTAAAAAAATATGGTGAGTGAAAAGATCGAGACAAGATTGTGAGCAATTATTTGTTCAATCAAATTCAAGGATTTGACACAAGGCACAAAGTGGAAAATACTGTATATTTAATCTTCATATTGATTATAATTAATGACCGATCAAATGGGTTTTTTGATGGAGTAAAAATAAAATATTTCAGACGATAATATTGATGAAAAGCAAATCTGAAGTGGAAGAAGCCTATTGAATGCAATTCAAATCCCACAATTGGATTTCATCATGGACGGGAGAGAGAATAGAGAGATAATAATTGAAAATTTTAGGGAAAAATTATAATTCAAGCTAATATTCCTGAAATTATTTCATATAATTTTATGACATAATAGTAATTCCTGCAATATATATGAGTTGCAGAAAATTATATGATTTCTTATAATTTTCAACTGCACATTTTATTATTTTTTTATTAAAATATACTAAAAATCTAATTTTAATCAACATCTAATGAGGTCGATTTAAATAGATTAGAGACCCAAATCTTCACATCTAAAAGTTGCGAACTCTTAACCACACACTACATGAAAAATATAAGAGCCAAAGCCAAATTTTTATAAGTTAATGAACTTATGTTCTTATTTTAAGCGGCTTATTGAACATCCTTTTATTACTATTAAGCTATTAATTTATATCTCCTTTTAATCAAGCCACTTTACACACCTACAATGGCATATCAAACAAAAAAGACATAAGCCCCCCAGGGCACATCCGAGTTGGTGGAACAATCACTTCGCTGGGACGCTG